AATAGTTAAATAAATACTACATTTACACCATATAATGCTTTACAGTGCATGCAACAGTTAACACTCAAATGGTGAATATATCTTAACAAATTATGTTTGAAAAATGAAACTTGAAAGCAATTCCTTAATTGTAACGTTATGTCAAAGAAATTTAAATGTACATTCAAAGATAATACAGGAAGCTGTAAAAACAGGACAAACACGGATAGATCATTTTACATCAATTGTATTGTGTCAAAGTATTAAATGAAATAATTAACAAAGAGACAAAAATATATATAACTGTAAGATGTGGTAAACAAAAAGTGAAACGATTTTCCAGTTATACTTCAATTCTGGTCGGTAACTACATGTTAATGACAGCTACATTGTTTATTAGCATGATTGGGTGTCTTTGTCCGTCAGCATCCTTTTAATATCAAAAATTAGGTTAAAAAATATCGCATACGTGGTAATAGAAACTAATACGCCTGTAATGAGACAACTGCGTAACAATATACGAAATACCAAAATAGCAACCATTTAAAAACAGTTAGCAATGCTGACAAAATATTAGCAAGCTGTGGAGACCGTTATAACAATCGCGGAACTGTTAACCATACAAAACATTTATTTATTGTGGAACTTCGTGGAATTATCTACAGTAATTTGGCGAGCCCGATATATATTTTTTAGGAAGTATCTACTAACATGTTAGTTGGCATCACTGTTAGCCTCGTATCCGCCCATTATGACTAGATAATGCTACGATGCTAACAGCGTCTCGCCACCAAGAAAATTTCTTTTAAAAAATATTTTCATATAATACATGTTTCTGATAGCTGCCAATGTACATCCAATCTAAGGCACGGTGTGTGGAAGAGAAAACATAAAGGCATAATGGCGGATGGACAAGGATTTTAAGTTTAAGTTTAGAGCATGATTGCTAAGTCACTCACCATCATCTTTGCAGTATCTTCGAGAAGCTTTTCGCCGGCTTCTCACGACCCACAATGCATTTCGAAAACAGCAGACAACGGTGGTGCGTTCAAAGACAGGGGCTTTAGTCAATATTTTAAACACAAAAATATTACTTAGTGATATTTTATATCAAACAAATGCTAAAAATGAACTAGAACTTTCATGTTCACGTACTTGTTTTTACTGTTTTTTGCTTGGTTACGGTAGTTGGCTTTTATGTAAAGAACTGAAAACATGATTTACTTTGTTCTTTCTGTAATGTTCACTGGTCTTTTTTAGTAAATGTTGTGATGGAAAGACAAAAAAGATCATGCAGGTCAAAAGCACACACAGTCATTGTATATCGTCTGGATATTCTTAATGTAGAAAGTCAATCTCCATTCAATGAGATAGAAAAATATAATGGTTATGTCTGCCTTTAATTTCCTTTTTTCTTTTTGTATTGTGTGAGATCACAAAGTTTTAAAAATGTCTCAAACAAAGTCATGAATCATGGTACATCAAGAGAAAGTGCACATTTTATTTTTATTACGTCCCAAAACCTTTATATTAGTGAATCATTTTTATTCACAAATTAACAAGATGTGTTTACTGCAGTGGAATTAGACATTTTTAGATCATAGTAAGTGTCAATTTGCTCTAGAGATGTGATTCTGAATGAAAGTAATGAAAGATGTGCTCAGGGGGAATGTGGCATGTTTTGAATGCCAGCATCCATTTACATGAGACATTAAGTTAGTTTCTTTGCATAATGTCCTGAAAATGAAACAGTACATTAGAGAACAAATGCATTTGGAATCACAACAAGAGTGTTGGCATTACATTTAAATGAAGGGTGAAATATTTTCCTACCCATGAGAAGCAGACAAGTTAATGCTTTTGTTACATCAATGTGTTTCAACTTCAGCACAACAAACACAGACAATACCTTTTGAACCCGGAGCAACATATTTATATGTAAATAAAAAATATTCAAAAGTATTATAATGTTATACCTAAAGTGCATTTTTGTCTATCAGGCTTTCATAGTGTAACTATAATTTTAGTTCATAGACCTTCATTTTAACCTCACCTAAACAAAAAATTACATAATTTTAAGATATCAGTAAATTGTGGATGGGGTGATTTTCTGTAGTTTTTCAGGACCTCAGGTGTTATTGGTTTTCCTGAAGGGCAGCCAACCCAACTTGTGCAGACGAAGCAGAGGCTGCAGGTAACCGCAGCTAACTGAAGCAGCTAAAGCTACGGACAGACACTGGCACTTAAAGGTGAATGGTGAAAGCAAACCAATCAAAGGGAAGCAGAGAACTGTGGGGAGGTAGTTGAGGAAAAGCACAGTCTGGATGATGATGATGGTGTTGAAGGCCCTCCTTTTCAGGGAATTGTTTTCCCTTTTGCCCCTATATGTTTTTATTTTACCATCCTTCTCAGTCATTTCTCCATCACCAGGTGCAGGCCTGCTCAGTGTTTTAAGAACAGCTATGCTACATGAGGTGTTTACAACTAGAACAAAGAGGAACACTGAAAACACAACCAATTTGGAGCATCCATGCATTTCAACTAAAATAATCAGGATGTAAATGCACCATGATGCAATCAAAAAGCTCAGTCTGTAGCGACGCGCTCTGCACCTAGTAGAAGGGCAGAAAAAATAAGAGTCAGACACAAACTGTCAGCTGACCTGTTGTATACATCAAGTATGAGAATATATAGGCAGTACTGTACCTAATACACATAGCATTACTGGCTTCTCAAAATGCAACCAAGTGATAGAGCCCAATTTTCCTATAGTCTAATAGTTAGTCTAAGAGTGTGCCCTCATTGTTGTACACGGCTAAACGTAAAACATCCAACAAGTATGTAAATAAGACATTTGGACAAATACATTTTTACTGTAAAAACCTGTTACTTGTAAGTATACTATATATATAATATATAAGTGTATAAGTATACTGTATATAGTGTACTAATGTGTCATTGAGACAAGTAAGGTTACAATTACAGTAGACTTTAAATTAAGAGTTTAGCATTGAATTTAAAAAGAATTGAAGATTTCAGCACTTTAATTGTACTTCTATCTACTTCTATCTACTTCTATCTGTACTAATGTTTATGTATTTGTTATTAATTAAATAACAAATACAAGTTGATTAAATAACAAATACACTTTCTCCGTAATTAACATGGAACTTGTTACCGTAGATATTGCAGGGGTCGCACCACAGCAACATATCTCTCCACACAGACCAGACAGAGGAGCAGAGGCTTTATACTAAGCATTGTGGCCTTGACAGAGTCACACACAATCATTACAATGTAATTCCCCCAGAAGAAATGGTTGGCAAAGGCCAGAGGTAGGGTCAAGTAGAAGGAGAGCTGCGTTAGGCCCAGGTGGAAAGGGAAGAAGTCTGCAGGAAGGATCCCAGAAACTTTTGACCTTAGTAAACAATAAACCATCAGATATAGACACCCTTGGATCATTGAAATAAGTTGTGTTATTGGATTATGTAATTGTGTAACACAACATGGTTACAAGTAGATGTAAATATATGTGGATATTTACCTATTTCTAATGATGTCAATAATGAGCCAAAGGTTTGACGGCATGCCAAGCAGAAATTCAATAATGTAGGTGGTGAAGAGGATGAGGAGGCCACTCGATGGACGTCCAAATGCATCACTGTCACATTCTTTCCAGAAATATGTTTGGAAGGAAGAATTTGTGGCTAAATCGTCATAATAGCAGTAGAAGATCATATTTCTAAAGACAACCAAAAATGATAAACAGAAGAGTAAGATAAAGAAAAAGGGATGTTCTTACAAAATATATATTTATCCAAAAATAAAACAATTGTTGAATTGATGATTAAGTTTTGTCTTCTCCCAAAAAATGTACTAACCTTTTGATGTGGAGTGAGAGCTGTGCAGGGTTCCTTGCTTGGCTAGGTTGTGTGGTATGTGTATTTGTATGACATACACTTCACACAGAAGAATAATGCTTAACATTTGCATGAAAGTCACATTAAGCAGCTGCAAAGTATATCTTTTTTTTTATCACAAATCATCAATGATGCTTAAATTTAAAGTTGCCAGTGATCAAATCCAGTTGCTGATCACTTTTAAATGCATTTTACCAAGGTCCCATAAATAAATACCCTGGTGACACCTTATACCCACACTGAGTTCCTGCAGAAATAATGGAACATGTCAGCTGCTGTTTTTTAAATTTCCAAATAACAATGCACTTGAATATTTAAAAGCAGCAGATATTCAGTTCACTGTCATTAAGAACCCTAGCATAGTTGAAATCTGAAATCTGTTCGTAAAATAGAATTGCCCCTTGTCGTTGAATTGCCCCTCGGGGACAAATAAAGTATTTCTGAATCTGAATCTGAATCTGAATAGTTCAATAGTGATACATCTATGCTTTATACAGTGCAAGGTTATCATTACAGTTCACGCTTCCTTTTCTTTAAAGTACTTTATACAGATACCTGCAAACATATAAAAGATACAAGTTATTTTGATAGCCAGAATAGGTTTAATTGTAAATGCAAAACAACAACAAGTTAGCTTTAACGCAGCTACTTTGACATATTGAGGTCTGATTTATGCTGGGATCTGATTGGTCTAGGCTGCATGGCTCTGTATTCTCGATGTATTTACTGTGGTGCGCTGGGCGGGCGGAGACCTTGGTTCTTCTCTTATTGGCTTTATTCTCTACTGCGTAGTCTCCGCCCGTACAGTTACCCTTTGCAGCAATACAGGCACACAGCTTGTTAGCGTGGACTCGCGCGGAGTTTTGATAGTGTACACAGCGGTGGCGGGAGACTTTCGACAGAGCAAAACAGAGCAAAACAGGGTAGTTGGTGTATTTAATATTTTAATAGGCCTAAAAATAAAAGTGCGTGTTAGAGCCAAAACTCTCAGTTATTATCTTTGTTAAAAGAACACCAAAGATGGAGGACTTTGGAATTTATGCTGTTTTTGGATTACAAGCGCCGCCTCAGAGACTCCTGAGGTAAGTCTACCGTATGCTATATTATGTACTTTATTATGGGCTAGGTTTATTCATTGTAATACACACATCCTTATAAATTACTGTATGTTTTTCGGCACCGTAGCAGACGCTTATTTGTAAGCTACTATAGCTAAGAAACGCACTAGACACGATCTCGCTTTACTTTGGCTTTCATTTTAATCATTTAAAATTGATATAAATTGATAAAACAGTTTTTTGTTTGTCTTTTTTAAGAACATGAGAATAAAGGTTCACATCCTTTCTGTGCACACTAAAAGTGTTATTAACTTATTTTGTTCTGTGGCAGTGCCAATGGGTGCAGCAGGGTTTGTGTCGCAGTACCACGGACTGTCCAGCAAGTGGTACTGTTTAGCAGCGGGCCCTGGGGTGACAGAATATGTGTCAACGCAGAGCTCAACGACACTGAACGAATTCCGATCACTATAGGGAAGCTAACACCCTACAACAGGTACACTACACAATTGTGTAAAAAAAAAAAAAAAATCCTGAGGTGGTTGCAATATGGAGGTGAAACAGGGCAGCTGGTGTGGTGAAGAATAATCATAATCTTTGTTTAATCATTGTTTGAATGTCAAAAGGAGTGTACGAGTAAAATTAGAGAGAATAAATGCTATAATAAAGCGTGTAGTGATGTACTTTGACTGATTATCTTTTACTATGTACTAATTTAAACTCATCTGGTCAAGGTGTCTTTCATGGGAGCAATGGGAGGAGGACACATGGACAGACAGTGTCACCTTGAACCTCAGACTGGAGGGAGGAAACCCGGTAATTTCATTAATCCTACGGACAATTTTAGACAAAAATGGAAATGACAGCATTGTTAGAATCTGAATGAAAATGTCAAAAGAAGAATATTTTGTTTAGATGCATTTGAAGCAGAATTAATTTTGATATGTGTGTATTTACTGTTCTTTTTATTCAAGGCAACAGAAAATTGGTCAGAACCAGAACAAATCCTGGCCGTGAAGGAGTATACACCAAAGGTAATGTGACATAGATGTATTGTTAAGTCACATTAACAGAAGTAAGTTATGAGATCCCAAAAATATAATTAATATAGAGTTTAATATTGGGACTAAGGATTATTCTGCCGTTGAGATTGTTTTAGATATTTGTTCAATAGTTGCTGTGCTGTTCTAGGACACCACAGTTCATCGTTCTGCTCAGGACCTATATGGCAAAAGGAAACGAGGACGAATGGCAGCCGATGAAAATGATCAGGACAATGTGTCAGAGACAGGTGAAGATGAGAACAGGTGTCCAAATGGATCTAAGAACAGCACCACACCTGTGCGAAAAGCCAAAGGCCAAAGCAAAGGAGGACAGAAGCTGTTCAGTAATGGAACAGAGGCAGCAAAGATGGAGGGGACAGGTGGGGGATGCAATCTGTGGATGGCCCTTAAGTCTAAAATGTGACCAAAACGATGTCCTAAAGCAAAAATGTATTTTTATTTATGGAGACAGCACTTTCTCACATATTTTTATCCAATATTTCTTTCTACAGCTGAAGTTGCAGGAGAAACCCACAGGATTCTGGGTAAAACACCTCCTCCAAGTGTAACCAGGACAAAAAACAAGCAGGCCAAGACTTCCACACAGACTGGTGAGTTGTACAACCTGTGCTGTAACCTTGGTGTCATGTCTCAATGGAAATATGATTTGCATTGATGATTATCATATTATGTATAATAATATTGGATGACATCACTACACAATTTGCACAATTGCCTGAGTAGCTTGAGATGCTCTGAGCGTGTGATTGTGCTGCTGATGCTGTTAATGTTTGGGTTAAAACAAGGACTTTGACAGTTTTCAAAAAACAAATCTATGATATAATTTTTAAAAACTATAATATTTCATTAACACAAGTCAAATTCTAGTTCACTGCCACAGCATACTGAAAGATTCTACAGTACTCAGAATATTGGCAAACAATATTATAGAACTAAGAATTAATAATATACGATTTTACTTTGTGGTTAAACTTAAATTCAACCTTCGTCCTTAAAGGCATCACGGTGCTTCCTGGTGTTGGAAACAGGAAGTAGCTGTACAGTTGCATATGGACTCGTTCAGGCTTCAGTTACTGATTGTGTAACACAGGCCTAAAGTATCTGAACATTCCATCGAATTTAACAGAAGGTTTTCTTTTAAACTTTAAGTTTTTTATTAAACTTTTTGTTTTGTTTTGTTTTTTTCTAATTTTACAAACTTCTGTTTACCTTTATGCAACCAACTTTTTTATTTCTTAAACTGCAACACTTTGAATGCTTGGTATGTAAAAGGAGATTCAGGTCATAGTATCTACATGACAAAAGAGCCTGTTTTTCAGACTCTGTCCTTCCCCCTAGCAAGTACACAGTTTTGGAACAGTAGGTTTTAAACTCCTTTGTACTACACAGTCATGTGTTCGATTATATTCACGCCAAGGCTGTCATTTGTTATCTCCTCGTTAGTATAGTGGTAAGTATCCCCGCCTGTCACGCGGGAGACCGGGGTTCGATTCCCCGACGGGGAGTATAAAACATTTTGTCTTCTCCCATCATGTGAATACCATTTTTTATGAGTATTTATGTCATCTGATCAAAGTAGAATTGTTATGGTGAAGAATGTATTACTTATATGACCTCAAATCATCAGCTTATTTAGGAATATAACCTCGTACTCCATCACCTAAAGATGGAAGTCGGCAGAAAAACAAACCCGTGGCAATTAGACAAATGCAACTGAATTTGCTTACTAATGTAAAATCATTGTTTCCAATTTCCTTTTCACTCGATAGATGGGAAAGGAGGCGGTGATGTTATAGGGGTTAAAGTAAAGCGTGTTATTTGTCTAAAGGAAAGAACATAACTAACAAAAACAATATAAAATATGACCCAACTGACCTGCAGCTGCAATAGTGAGTCCGTCAGGACGATGGGGACAGACTTTGTGTCCCATCGATGCACAGACAGCCATCTTGATTGGAGGACAAGGAGCCAGGATGCATTTCTGTAAAGATCCGATGTGGAAGCTCTGTACAGGTCAGTAACACCTCAAACTGCAACAGCTGGATGCATTTTTTTTGTGAGTTGTAGTCACATTTCCATTCCTACAGAGGACATGTCTTGGATGGCAGCAGAGACGTTGGCAGAGGGTCCCACTCCTGAAGCCCGAATTGGCCACACATCAGTCTATGACCCAGACTCAAAGCGGATCTTTGTGTTTGGAGGCTCTAAAAACAAGAAGTGGTTCAATGATGTTCACATCCTAGACACCCAGAGCTGGAAGTGGACCATGGTGGAGGTGTGTGTGCGCCTTCTCCTCAGGGTTTTAGTTTGCAGTCAAAATGCAAATGATTGTCTCCAAGAAATTTCAGAATGTCAGAGACAGCTCATGGCTCGAGATAAAAAAAATCGGAAGATTGTAGTTCGAATCCCGGTCTTGGCAGGGCTGCAAGGCAATCACCAAAAACTCCCCTTGAGTGGGGGGGGCTTGTAGAGTAATAAAATGGTGCATAAGTGATTCATTCATGTGATTTAAGGAAATACATTTTATAATTCTTACACACATTAGACACTTCCCTGATCACATCCTCTATTGTTTTTATCTGACTGCTCTTTCTTGTCAGGCTCAGGGTAAGGTGCCTCCTCTGGCATACCACAGTTGCAGCATGTTCCGAGGGGAACTTTTCGTACTTGGAGGAGTGTTTCCTAATCCGAACCCGGAGCCCGACGGCTGCAGTGACTCCCTGTATATCTTTGATCCAAACCTCTCAATCTGGTACGAACCAATCGTGACGGGTGACAAACCCTCCCCACGTTCAGGGTAAGATTTTCTGGATGCAGGTGCAGCATTTCTGACCTACAGACTTTCTATCAGAAACTATAGGATGTTCTTTTTTTTTCCACGCCATTTTTTGAAACTCTCCGAATGATTATTTATTTATTTATCTTTCAGTCATTCTGCATGTTTGATGCAGGAGAGGAAAATCTACATGTTTGGTGGATGGGACACTCCTGTCTGCTACAACGACATGTTCATGTTGGATCTTGGTAAGAATTAAACTTGCACAACATCTTTAGGCAAGAATTATTGAGTTAATTCACACATGGTGTAAAAAAAAACCCCTCAGAAATACTATATAAAATCAAGTGATTCTGTACTTTATACATAATTCATTTTTACACTTTACATACAGCATGTACTATATGTCCAGTGTCAGGCCTGTTCATTAGAATAGAATAATATTAACGCAGGTCTTTCTATCACTGAATAAGACAACTCTGTTTTGGATGTTAGGTCTCATGGAGTTTGCTGTTGTGAAAACCAGTGGAAAGGCCCCATCTCCCCGAAGGTAACTGGTAATACACAAATACTGCAGGCCAGGACAGCCTTAGAGCATGATGATGCAACAATTCTGTTCTGTTAGCAATAGTGCATATTGCTATATTTAAAGTGCTAACCATATATGAACCACCAGTTTCTGTGTGTATGCATTCTCCAGTTGGCACGGCAGTGCTGTCCTTTCAGACACAAAGTTTTTGATCCATGGAGGTTACAACGGAAACAATGCGCTCAGTGACACCTTCATCTTTGACATAGGTGAGCAACATTTTAGGGTTATTTTTTTATTTTATTTATTTTTTGTTATGTGTAGGATCATTCACAGATCCTTAGAACAAGTGAAATGCTAATAGCAGACTTGAGCAGGTCCGGTCTTTTAGTTTTCCCTGTTGATAAATACCTAAGTACCTTTGGAGTTTAATAACAACTTTGTGTTTCATTGGTTTAGAAACCAACAGCTGGACGGAGTTGACGCTCCCTCAGTTGTCTGTACCCAGAGCAGGACACTCCCTCATCACTATGAACACAACGAGTCTCCAGCTTCTCTCAGGGGACAGTAAGGATGTGGACATGGACTCTGAGGACAAGAGTTTGATGGTGTTTGGAGGTGGTGATAATGAGAGAAACTTCTACTCGGATGTAACGACAGTCTCTGTGAAGGAGCTGCTTTCTTCTGTTTAGACTCAGAGTCAGGTGGCTTTTATTATTTATATAAATATAACTTTACCTCTATGGTATGGTTTTAATTTTTGAACTTTTCCCCAGTTTTCTTTTATAAAAAACATATATCAAAATCTATGTAATTGAATAAATGTATTTTGTTTGTTTATATATTGTTTAACGCTTCAGACGTTCTTGCTCAGGTAAGATTTATATTTTTGTTTAGCTAGATTTGGGGTTGCTTTTGTTCACTTTGGGTGTTTGTGATTTAGTACTGCTTTATTTCTGTCTTTATATAATAAATTGGATATTCCATTGTTTGGTTTGTGTTTGTACTATGAACTGCATATCCACACTCTGATTGGTTACCTTCTGCTCTTCCTTTTTGTGTCGTTAGAGTCAGCTTCCTTTTAACAAGGCTCATTGCTGTAATCTGATGATCTCCTAACCTGTATCAATTGTTGCTCCACAATTCATGATGACCTTAGAAAGAAGGCAGCACTAAGGACAATCAATCTGTTTTTGATGACGCAAAAACCTTTGATGTTTCTTTGATCTGTACACGTGATGTCTAATTAGAGTTTATGTAGCGCTTGGTGTTTTTTTGTTTTTGTTTTTTTTAGATGGTTCGTCTTTCAATTGTAGCCTCGATAATAAAAATGAACACATGATAAACCAACATTCGCCATGAATCATAAGAAGACATTCGACGTACAAATACCACAGATTACAGTCAGAACTTTCCAGCCTGTCATTCAACCTTGTTTAGCAAGTTTAACAAAGGAGCAGTGGGTTCTCTTACAGACAGGAAAAGTTGATTTTAGCACCAGGACCTTATTTGCTGTGCTAGTTCAAGATGTGATATCAGCGGTATCGAGAATTTTCTCAAAGTCTTTGAAACAAGATGTGTTTGTGTGCGAGGAGCTCATTGAGTTGGCGATGGGTGACACTCTCTTCCACTGCTTTGCTAATGTTCTTGGTGTTGAGAACAAAATGCCATGTCACTACTCCAAAATGCTCACAAACTTGATCGGTAAGCAGGTCGCAAACGTTCTTCGACATTGTCCCAACAGTGAAAACCTTCAGTTGGCACCCATCCTACCTTGCGCCACTGGTCCCTTTGACCTTTTCAAAATGGTCGTCTCTGTCAACGAAGTATTGCAAAGTTTAGTGGCCAAAAGAACATTTTTGTGCAATCCTCAACAAGGTGCAGCCACAGCTAACGGCACTGCAAGGCGCACATGTGTCCAGAGGGTTATTGGACAGGAAGTATGCCATCTCACCAAACCTCTCTTGAAAAACGTGCCTGACTCGGAGTACCAGCTAATGCAGAGGGAAACTGTTGAGGATACAAAAAAGGCCACAAAAGGCATCGATCCATCCAAGACGGTACTAATGGATGTTCACAGAGTCAACATTCAAAAGTGCTTCGTCAAAGGCCTGGCAAAAGCATCCATCCATCGAACATTGGTACAACTGAGAAAAGAATACCCTACAGTCACTAAAGTGCAAAGCAGTGAAGAAATTAAGTCGTTCTTGTCCAGACTTGACTCATTATTAGAGTACGGTGAATCGTTAAAATTCAGGAAAGATCTCAGTATTCTCATCTACCACCACCTGACATCTAGTCATCCGGAAGAGGCAGCGTGCCTGCTACTGAAGCTCTTGTACAGCAACATATGGAACAGATTGACCTATTTCCAAACACTGATCGCATGGTGGGTAAAGACACAAGCTGACCTCCACTTTGTTGTAGTGATGAGAAATGTGGAGGAAGCGAAGGCAGACGACAAAGTGAAAGGACCCATCAAGTTAATAGTGGTCGGTGTTCTTCTGATGCTTGTAAGAAACGTACCAAAACTGGAATTTGAAAACATCCGTCGTGAGTATTACGAGCACCACGAGTCCATCATCTACCACCTGGTGGACACCGCGTGGCCTGAAATCAAAGAGGCAGACGTCCCCACAAGTAAGTTCCGAGCACTCGTAGAGGCACTATTCAAGGCTCTGTGTAAGAGGTGTGGTTCCGAATACAACATTTTACAGGGCATAGCTCGGAGGGACGCAAAGGTTGAAAAACTGTTTGTCTCTTGTCTGAAAGATCAGCTACAAGAAAAAAGGCACAGTGCCTTCTCCAGGTTCATCTTCAAATGCAAACGCAAACGTGGGCATTAGCACCACGTCTGGAGGTTCAACGTGAAATGGCTCCAGCCATAAGAGCTCAACACACTGGGACTTGATTAAACAAAACACACAAAAAAACAAAAACTAGTGCATATGGAGGAACAACACATGCATATCATGTGGAAAATGTTCTGCAAATGCCGTAGCATCACAGTACAAATTTCAGCAGTGTAGTACTTCCAGAACAAGACAGTTTGGCACATGCACCTTTATTGTATATATTGTTAGGTTAGCCTTTTTTATGTTAATTTATTTATTCAAATGTCTTAGTTTTATTCTTATTGTACATGAAGTGATGGGTGATGATGTGCGGTGCATGGGAGATGAAATGCATTGTAACCGTCAAAGGTGCAGCATGCTACAGGACCAGGACTCCTATGCTTTATTTTCTGGTATTCTGCAGGGATTTAGAACCATCCACTTAGATTTGAAGCTGGTATCATCTCAGATTAGGCTCTTACCTCTTTGTATCTCACACAATGGCATACTCAGCTGATAATGTCACCCTTTTCATATCATTTCCTTTGCTAAAAACACAATCACCATCTGAAAGTTTAACTCCTTAACCCTGGGCTCTCTTTTGTCACTGTCCTTTCGGTAATATAAATACAAAATATATATTTCCTAAATGTTTTCATGGAAAACACTTTAACAAAATGTGTGGTGTAGTGATTTCAGTGGCAACAGCCAATTGGCTTATGTTCAAATACCTTTAGATCATTTGTGTGACAAGGTGAGAGAGACTTAGCGTGTACTGTTTAAACTGAATGTCACAAAGATCAAGCTCTGCCTACAGCAACAAAATGATCTGATATCTAAGACAATAAACTGAAATGCAGGAAAATGCAGCCTGACGGTAATATATGACTTCATGCACATGACGTCAGCTAACGAACACTCACAGTATGTGCATCTCATTATTTATACAGTGAAAATGAATGCATCCTTAAATCAACAGTCATAAAAGGTTGCAGCTCCAACCAAACTTGGTAAGTAGATTTGTATTATACATACACATTTGACAACCCCAGCAGATTAGCAAATGTCAAGATGAGCAGATTGTAAAACAGACGGGTAGGTAAGTAGATACATCTGCTGTTTTTTCAAGCTTGGTTAGGTACCACTGCCTGGACTGTCAGTTGGTGACATGTAGGTCCATCTGACATGGTAGATGTAAATGTTGTTGTTTTATTTTTAGCCTTTACAAGTTCGAACCTGAAACCAAGTTATTTGATGTCAATAATATTTAACAAATTAGATCGTTTGTGTTTTCACTCAATAATAACATCACTTTTTAAGTTGGGGGTACCTTCACCTTGGGTCGAGTGCAGAAAAATACATCTGCAATTCACATAGATACTCAACAGATGGCGACAAAAGCACATATTTAAGTAACACATAAGTCATAGTACTGTGATTTTTGATGTACTGTACTCTAAAAATAAGTATGGTTCAGAGCACATTAATATGGGTAATATACACTTCCCTGTGATCCACTATTAAATCACACAAGGTCTACACTTAAAAGAAGCACATTAATACCCAGATTATAGAAATGACAGGTGCTCTTACAGATTAGTCACCAGTATTGTTCAGTGTTTTTGTGTATAATACCAATGAATGAGATCCCGCAGTAAAACACAGCAGACAGAAGTGTCTGTCTCCTCTAACAGTGTATAGTCTACACTCCTTCCATCATCAAGGGATGTTTTTCCTCTTGATTCATCAGGAAATCCTGCCAGTTGGATTCTCTCCCACTCACACCACTTTGTTTCCTGATTCCATTTTTTATTATTGTCTTCATCACATCCGCACATTGTTTGAAAGGTGAATATTTGGTATTGTAACGAGTTTCTCTAAAACCCCCCTCTGACTGTCAGGGTTCACACATCAGCACTTCCAGGAGAAGCCATATTATCTTTGTCACTCCATGGCTGTTGCTAAGTAACTTGCAAATGTCTAAGCCAGCTGTCAGCATCTCACAGTCACACTTAGGAATAGCATGGGTACATGTTTGCAGGTGGCACTTTTTACAGCTGTGGCAACGCAACATAAATCAGATTTTTGATTCAGAGTTTGTAGGGGCTTCGGTTCAATTATTTAATGCACTACAGCCTTACAAGAACACAAAATATTTTACCACTGAAATTATGAGTAGCTGATAAAAGTCATTTTATTATTATTTTTATATTTTTATTAGATATACTCTTGACATCTCTAGATATCCTTTAAATGTGCCTTTAATGTATTCAACAAATTGTAACACTTGAAAAAATGTTACCTCATACATTAAGTATACATTTTTGTTGTGGTCTTTTTATTGAGGTATTAAAAGGTTGGGGTATTAAAATAAAAGAGCACAGTCATGTGGAGTGAAAGAAAAGTTGTTTGATTTAATTGTATGAGTCAAGTACATCCTACATACATTAGTGTAGACAGATGTGGAAAGAGAAGGTAAACAAACTTACATTAGAACAAACACCTTTAACCAACCTGCACTTCTTTGCAGGTTTGTTGTTGATCATGATGACATTCAAGTCTCAGGCTTTCCCTGCGATGGCAGCCCTTTCCAGCTGTTGGCCCCTGGAATCATCACAGTGATATCTACCTTGAAACGTCTGTATTGTTGTATGAATAATAACTTGTCTCAATTATACAAATTAAAAACAAGGTTTGAAACCAATTGGGGTGTTTTCCATCATGTTTGCTAGTCTGTTTGTCTGCAAGTAAACAGTACAATTCACAAAACAGGAATTAGATTGATAGATTAAATTGTCAAGTGATAAATGCAACAGCCAGTGTACCCAAACATTTGAAAATGTATGGCAATGTATTTTATCAGCATCCATTTTTTTCCATTCATCACTACATAGATTACTGTTGTAGCCAGAATTAATATAATTTAGGAATACACTTGTATCAATATATTCATACTGAAAAAACATGTCGTACATTATCCATTTTGTATAAATAGCCTCACTAGGCTCCATAAGACTTTAATGTTTTGGGAAATAATTTATAACTTTCTGAGCAACACTTTATTCAGCGAGAACACAGCCATCATGGGTGGCTGCTTATGTCACCAAAACATGTTGATTGCTACTGCAAGCTAAGCTTGTAATTGCTGGATATACATTATGCAAAATTTCCCTTTTAATGGAAATTTCACAAAAATATCTGAAAAAACACAAAAATCTGTTGAAATACGTGGAGGTGTGGAGCAATCCTGTCGGAGCTAAATTCAGGATTTTTTCCCATTGGTATGGCACTGCACCTGCCCTTTACTGATCTAAGAATCACAGTCACAGGAGAAGACTCGGAAAACAGTCGAATTGTGCCGAACACGACACGAACTAGCTCCCTCCCTGTCTTTCTCTCTCTAGTTCTCCTTTAGTCGTGGTGCAAGCAGCCATGTTGCTGCGAGCTTGTTCCGGTATCAGGGCAGGATCGTGCGCATAGGCTGCATTCAAGCAGAGCTTCGCCTTCCTCCTGCTGTCGCCCGTGGCGCACACACACACATACACACATACACCTCCAGACAAGAACTCCCCGTCTACAGATAATGGCTTTGACTACTTGATGATTCTAACCGGAGACGACTGCTCACGGGATAATTGCAGTCGGGGTACCGACGGGGAGGACCGGTGTATCGCCACACTGCAGTGCAGCAGCGGCAGCGCCGAACGACCTTATTCCAATCACGCAACAGAAGGAAGAGCGCCGTTGATTTCCGTACATTTTGACTTTTGTGTGCTGCTCGGTGGCAGCCACCACGGTCGCCGCTGGAGGAGAAGCTAGGCTGCTTAGCTCCGTGAGCTAATATCAGCCAGCTATTCACTTAGCGCCAGTAATAAATATCTATCTGACATGTGACCAAGTTACGCACTGCTATTATTTTTTCCTGGACACCTCATTCCGAATATCTGACTTTGGACATTTAAACTTGTTTGGTTTAAGCTGGGAAGGTCGAAACTTCCCCGGGAATAACTTTGGCCTGAAAGTTTGTGGAGCCCGGATCGGAGAGGACACGTACCAGCCACAAAAAAAGACAAAAGACGCAGAAACGGCAACCACCTGCGTAGTGCTACCCTGTTACATCCGCCCACCACGGTCGCCGCTGGAGGAGAAGCTAGGCTGCTTAGCTCCGTGAGCTAATATCAGCCAGCTATTCACTTAGCGCCAGTAATAAATATCTATCTGACATGTGACCAAGTTACGCACTGCTATTATTTTTTCCTGGACACCTCATTCCGAATATCTGACTTTGGACATTTAAACTTGTTTGGTTTAAGCTGGGAAGGTCGAAACTTCCCCGGGAATAACTTTGGCCTGAAAGTTTGTGGAGCCCGGATCGGAGAGGACACGTACCAGCCACAAAAAAAGACAAAAGACGAAGAAACGGCAACCAACTGGATATTTGTCTCTTTTTAAATTCGACATAAGTCGAAGCGTATTTCAACGTAGTCACAGGATAGCATGTTGGTCACCCAATTGAACCTTGTCTTCAACTTTTCCTCAAGCTAGCGCTAGCAACTAGCTGCTGAAAACGTCACATCATCATATTGTTCGGCATTGCATCACTTTCGACGGTGTTTAATGCAAACTGGGAACTGGATGGTTTCACATAAAGAGTGACGGCGGAAAAAGGAATATTTGGCCCTCTTTCTGCTTTCCTGTGTGTTGACAAAAATGGGACGTGTGGTTTCTACGAGCTAGTTTCCAGCTAGCTGGCTAACTAGGGTAGCCGTTGATGTGGGATTCAACTTGTTGATTCACGGCTTATTTGTCGTGCCGCCAGCTGCTCAATATCGGGTATCTGTAGCAAATTTACCTCTGTCATCAGATACTCACGTTTTTAAATGTACAATTGACAATTGTTTCAGTTTCATTTTCCCATTTTCGGCAACACCAACTCTTTCAAAAATGTCAACAAGGCCCCCATTGGTGCAAGTCATTGAAAATTCGACCGGACAGGTAAGATATGCATCATTCGCTTATACTTTGATGCTGTAATATTGTGTATATTAATGTATTTAGTTTTTTTTTAAATCATTGTCTGCTTCTTGGTGAGGCCTTGTTTGTCTCCTCTTTGGTTTCCTCTGCTATCTTGGCCACAGAACTGATTCACCAGCTTGCCTACGCACTCAATAGGCTCCCCACTCTTCAGAATATGAAAACAAATTTAGGTTTTGTTTACTTTGTGTGTGTGTCATGTCCTGCTTTACTCTGGTAGTAAACTAATGTTGACTGATTTCCTGATTGAACTAATGTACTTCGTGAGATTCCACCCAAGCAACTGAAGTATTTTACTGCCAGATGTTTTGTTTGAACGTAATGTGTGTGTTTGCAGGAAGGGCACTGAAGGAAAAGCAAGATATGCATGCTATACTCAGCTATGAGGATGGCACTATAAACAGTGCTGTTGAATCATAATAAATGTCCTCATTATAAGTGATTGATGGTGCTAAAAATATCAGTTTTATCTTTCTGTTTAATATAAGGCGTCTGGTGGAAGTTTGAAGCCAGTGAAACCAACATTGGTATAAACTGTTGTAATAAAAATTAAAAACAAAGACATTTGGCACCGCTGATCTTAAAACGACTTTAATTTGCTGAAGCAAAAAGTACCAAAAGAATCACTTAAAGACTAAAAACAAAATTATTGTTAGTTTCTTTTTTTAAGACAGGAGATATTAAATGTCAGTGGTTTACTTTGGTCTTTGTCATTACCTTTGGTTGGGCTGTGGTCTATAAGTATACAGTTGAAAGCAAAAAAGGGTGTGTTATTAATTGTGATTACTTTTAACCTGTAACAAAAGCTGCTTCTCGCCAGCAATTTGTCCTTGCAACACTTAAATTAAACTAAGTTGAGGTCTGCTTTCACAACAGAATTATGACATGTCTGTGTAGGAGACCAACAGGTTGAAGATTTTTTTAATACAAATTCTAACAAAAGCTGTCATCTAGTCCCTTGAAGTCACTGTACATGCAGTTGATGTTTTTTTTTTTTTTTACAGGAAATCAAATCAGGGTCGACTGGTATCTAGATAAAGGAATATGAGAAAATAAACAGACATGGCATAACACATAAACCCAGGGTTAAGATGGAATAAGGGATAATACTCCATGTGAAAAAGCTACTGTGTTCTGTCTTGGTGTAAAACACTTGAAGTATGAGTTCCTCATTGAGATCAATGAAGCCACAGCTTTGGAGCGGGATTTGTGTTCCTACCAAAGTAAGATATATAAGATACATAAATACAGTCATGTAGAGCACCCTTTTCAGTACTGGGTGATGTCATCCTGGATGATCATATTAAGATAAAGGTAAAATATTGCTATCACTGCTGTGCTTTACAGTATCAACCAAAGTGCAGCTTAGTAAATAATAACCCTCAAACTCAACTTCCCTCTTTGTGCAAACTTTACTGCCTTGCCAGAGACAACACAGCCTTTTGTGTTCATTTGTTTATCCTGTTCAAATGCTTCCGTTGCCCTTAATGGATCAATACCCATCCTGCAATATCCGTAAAGGACTAAGGAGTAAAAAGGAAACCAATTTTAGGTTTCAAGTGCTTCGAATGTGTTT